CGGAATTTTCCTTTAACTAAGAGCTGGAAACTCAGATCAAGGTGTGCCTTTAAGTCAGAAGCAAGACGCTGCAGCTGCTCTTGGACTCTGCTGAACAAACAGTCTCTGGACCCAACAGTTCCCTCTCTCTCAAAGAGAAGCCCGGACCCTATCAAGGTATACTCCTGAATTATCTAAGACTCATAACTCATCAGCCTGCTTCCTAATCAAACTATCATCTCTGCAGACTTCAGTGAAGCTGCCTGGACCAGTTCCAGATCCAGTTCATGATCTTGTTTTTTTGTGCAAACTCAGTAAACTCTGTTAAACTTTTACCCAGCCTCCGTTGTGTTCTGCATGTGGGCTAAAAACTTAAGACCCATCATGACACCCAAGGGGATGGGTTAAATGCAGAGAGTTCATTTCATTGCTCTGTACTTTTGCCAGTGTAATAAACATAAAGTTCAACTCTATTTTGTAAAAACGCTACTGATGTAGTAATGAGCAGCTATTGACATCTGTAATCAGAAAGTGAGTTATGTGCATATTTTGGTATTTCAAATGATAAAACTAAATTAAAAAAATAAAAATACCTTACATGATTGATACATAAAAAAAAAAATGTTAACACAAACTTATAAAAATATTCTTTACAGTGATGATAGATATTATGCTACGAAATGATAAAGAACTTCCAGCTGCGATATCTACTGTTTTCTATATATTTGCCAATAGATTAAAAACTGAAAAACTCTCTGTCTTCTGAATCCTCTCTCAGCTTAAAATCCTCTCATTCATACTTTTCCTTACTGTTTATTAAATGTTCATATATTTTCAGTGTTTATATTGTTTTTATATTCATGTTTTGTGTCAGTCATGCTTTCATCTTTTATTCTTTGTGAAGCAAATTTTTATTTTTAACTGGGAAAGGTGAAATATAAATTAACTTTACCTGCAATGATAGTTCAGTGTTTCCCGACAGTGAGTTACATGTCCAGAGTTAATTTTCTGTTATTAGCCAAGTTAAAAATTGGTCTAATTTAGAGGGAAACATTTGAGATGTGTTAACCGTATCCATGCATGTCTAGAAGGAAATGGGACTTCTCATGACTTTCTGCAGCTGCACCAGTCGGCTTTAAGGGTTAAAGTGGACTTCCAGGTCTTTGTAGAGATGCATCCATTCCGGAATATTTATTTTTTCCCATAAGTACTTGGGAGATTGGTTCATAACCTTTGCTTTAAGTTTCTCCTCATATTTCTCCCTGTCTGTTGTTTTCCTTGTCTGCATAAAACCTCCAAGGACATCAGAGAAGATACGTATGTTGTGCTTCTCCCCGTTTTTGGGGGTTTTTAGTTTTCAGTTATCAGTAATTTTGTTTTGTTGATCTTTGGTTTATTTTCCATTTTATGTTTATTTTTGCAGTCTTAAGAAACTAAATGGGTTTTAGTGTAATTTTCTTCTCAAAAAAAGCAAAAGGGGGTGTGAATACTTTTACAGGATCCGTGTCCTGACTGCTTTTTTTATCTTATTACCTGCACATCCTCCAAGCGGGAAAGCAGAGACTGGTTGGACTGACACAGCTCCTCCTCGCTCCTCCTCACATCCTCAAACATTTCCTCCACCTGGTTCTTTTCCCTCTGAGGGAGGAAACAGGAAACGTGATTAAAAAAGCAAATGATGCTCATCTATGTTTCAGGTTGTTCCACCCTCTCACCTCCAGCTGCTTTGTTCTCTGCTCCATCATTTTCTCGGTGGTTTTAAACTCCTGGATGGCCTGATTCAGTTGATCCACCTTGTTGCTGAGTTCTCGGACCTTTCCTTTCAGATGATCTCTTTCCTGGATCAGTTCCTTCATCTGCACCTTAGCTGCCCCTCTCTCCTCCTCCACCTGAGCCTTCTCCTGACCCAGGTAAGCATTGCTCTTAGGAATGAAAAGCAGAGTCAGAATAAATGTCATTACAGATGTATAAAAAAAGTGGAAAAATATGTAACTTTACCTCCTTTGCCTGCTGCAAGTCACCAAGCAGCTTTTCCAGCTCCAGCTCGTATTCTTCTTTCAAAGCAGAGATGTATTTATCATGAGTCTCCACCTCCTCTTTCAGAGCCCCCTTCAGGGCACTGAGCTCCCTTTCCCTGTGGTGCAGCACCTCCTCCTGCTCCTCCTTGGCTTGTTGCATCTCCTGAAAATCTGCACGCAGCTGTGCCAAATCCTGATACACATCCATACATAATGTCAGGGGAGAAACCTTCCCAAAGACTGGCTCCTGATTTCCTGTTGTGTTCTTTCTGACCTGAAGGAGCAATTCTTTCTCTGTATTTATCACCTCTGACTTCTTGGCTTGGTCCAACTCGTCGTGCATCTCAGAGAGCTGTAGCTCCAGGTCTTTCATCTCTGCCTTTGATCTTTCTCTTTCCGTCTTCATCTGATTCAGTCTAAAAACAGAACAGAGTTTTATGACAAACTGTCAAGTGATTCAATCTTTGCTGTTCTATTCCCACACTTGAAGGGTTGTATAAAGCTCAACATTAAACTGGATTCCACTCAATGACCAAACTGTTTTTTATTTTTCTTCTTGTGTTTTTTTTACAGATAATCATTTAATTAAACAGGTGAAAAACTTTTAAAAGAAATGAAACCAAACAAAGCATTTACCATATTGCACATTGTAATAGTTCTGAGAAATGCATCATTAAATATATTTATGAAAATAGATTATGTTTTTAACTTTAAATTAAGACCATTTAGTTTTTAATTATCATAAAAAATGCATCAAAAAACTTATTAAAGCATTTTAACGGAAGCAGATTTAACCCCA